CACGACGTGGTTTTCTATTTATAAATAAACCCTAATCCGCATTCCACTGCTCTCACCATCGAGTTGATTGCCGACGAAGCAATCGCGGAAGGGGAGTTCATCACCGACGCCGTAGACGGCTTCATCGCCCTTTCTCTATTTCGTTGAAGCACTGAAGGTATTTCTTCTGAACTGTAAAAATTTGTGTTTTTTAGAACAAATTTCCAGAAAATTGTTGACGAGGTCGAAGTAAGAGGAGAAAACCTTGAAAAATCCCCAAACTGACTAGAATAATTTCAATGCTTATAGATTTCAATTGTTTTTTTTTAGAGAAAATTTCTAGTTTAATTTTTGATAATTGAACGCTCGTGAAGGATTGATCATCATGCCTAAGATCAAGACGAGCAGGGTCAATTTTCCTGAGGGATGGGAGCTCATCGAGCCTACACTTCGAGAGCTGGAGGCAAAGATGAGAGAAGGTTTGTGTTGTTTTCCTCATTAGTCTTAATTTGATTTAGTTAGGACTAATTTTTTTCGTTAGAAAAGATTATTGTTTGCTTCTAACTCATATGATGACAAATGAAATTGTTAATTGGCAGCTGAAAATGATCCACATGATGGGAAGAGAAAGTGCGAAGCGCTGTGGCCGATATTTCAAATTTCACATCAGAAGAGCCGATACATATATGATTTATACTATCGGAGGAAGGAAATTGTGATCTAATCTCTTGTTTCCTTTGATTTAGCTACGGAATTTCCTTCCTTTTAATTGTCATGTTGTTAACGTTAACAACATGATTTATACTATGAGAAGAGCCGATACATATATGATTTATACTATCGGAGGAAGGAAATTTCATTGCTAAAACACCTTTTTGGTTCTTGTTTCATTTGAGAAACAAGAATTTCATTGTGATCTAATCTCTTGTTGTGCACCTTACGCACCGGAGGTGCTGCTGAAATTTCCGCTGCGCACAACAGAAATCTCGAAGGAGCTGTATGAATTCTGTTTGGATCAGGGATATGCTGACAAGAACTTGATTGCAAAGTGGAAAGAGGTATGTTTTTTGCACCGTTCTTGTTTTAGAATAATAATATATTGTTTCATGGTGTTTGGTTCACAAGGGTGCTTTACATGTATAGTTTCAAAATTCAGATATGATAAGATTTCAAATGTGTTTTTTTAAGGAGAATATTTAATCATATATAATTTGCTTGAAAGTTTATTTATAAATAGAAAACTGAGGGTTAAATAATGTTGATCACAAATTTTCTAGTTTATATATGATTAAATTGTGTAATGAAACCTTCTAGTTTTTGAATTCTAAATTATATTGCTCTAGAGGTTCATGCTTGGATATTACTCTATGTTTGTTTTTGAAGGAAGAAAATAATCTCAAACTAATAGTTGATGGGCTTTGATAAGTAGTTTGTTTCCCTATCAGTTTAGATCTTTGAACTACAACATATTATGCTTGTACATTGTAGATGACAATCATGTATTTGGTGATTTAAGGGAAAGTTGATATAACAATCTGAGTATTGTTTTTACCTTTCAAATTAATTGTGTGTTGGTTCATGCTTGGATATTACTTTATGTTTGTCTATGTTGAAGGAAGAAAATAATCTCAAACTAATAGTTGATCGGTTTTGATAACTAGTTTGTTTCCATATTAATTGTGTGGAGTGTGGTGCATGCGTGCACGCGTGTACGCGTGCGTACATGCGTGCACGCGTGTATGCGTGTGTGCGTATATGCGTGTGTACGTGTACGCGTGCATGCACGTATGGTGAGAAAATTGCGGGTGGGGTTAGGGTGTGTGCATGCGTTGTTGCAAAAATTGTGCGTGCGTGCGTATAATACATAAGAATATGCCATGATACTCTCTCTGAAACATGTAATACATAAGAATATGCCATGATATTCTATCTTAATTCTATACTTGCATGTCATGTCATGTTGTCAACGTTTGATTTATATTTGCAGGTCGGGACTTATATTTGCATGTGGAGCTGGTGATGAGATTGATGATGATGATGATCAGGAAGACTGATTTGTTTTTTTACCTTTAAAAATAATAAATGAGTGTATGCTGTATAAACAATATTTATCATGGTGTGTGTTGTATAAACAATGTTTATTATATTGAGATATTTTTATTAAAATATTTATGTTATATATACGTGAGAATGAATATTATACTGCCGATTGAACAGGGTTTTAAATTTATTACATTATTGTACATGTTTTTTCAATTTTCAAAAATAATTTTTCTTTTTTTTTAATTTTATAGCAACGGATTTTTCGTCACTAATGATGTTTTTAGCGACGGATTTCGCTAATATTTTTTAGTGATGAAAAATCCGTCGCTCGCTAATGTTTTTTTCTTTTTTTTTAAAAAAATAGAGCGACGGATTATCCGTCGCTAATGTTCCGTCGCTGACATTTAGCGACGAAAAATCCGTCACCAAAGGTCATTTTAGCTACCCTTACTGTACTGACGGTATTTTAGCGACAGAATTTTAATTTTTCCGTCGCTAAAAGTTTTAGCGATGGATTTTCGACCTTTAGCAACGGATTTGTCCGTCGCTAAAAGTCTTATTTCTAGTAGTGACTATTTTGCTAAAACAGTCAGCTTGCGAGCGTTCGATGAGTCTGAGTTGATAGTAGCGACCTCACAGGGTAACCAGTTTGCGGAGTCATTTCTGACGTACATCGAGAAGGTGATGTTGCGGGATCGTAGTGTCGATTTGAGCGAGACGCATGTGGTCTCAGATTATCAGGATGTCATTCAGGATATACCGGGTTTACCTCCAGTGAGAGAGGTCAAGTTTTGCATAGAGTTACAACCAGGCACAACACCTATATCCCGAGCACCCTATCGCATGTCACCTATTGAGATGAGGGAGCTACAGACTCAGTTAGATGAGCCTTTGTCTCAGAGATTTATTCGACGAAGTCATTCTCCGTGGGGAGCGTCGTATTACCTAATTGTCACTAATTGTGAGAATTCTAACTAGAGGGTGAAATTAAAAATCATAAGAAAGAGAACTCACCTCTGTAAGAGGTTGGTCCGTTTTGAAGCAAATATTCTTCTTCAATCTTTAACCTCCTTCTAGTTCGATCCGTCACAATGAAACACATAAATTAAATAACCAAAATAAAAAATTTCTAATACAAGCACCTTCCCCGACAGCGGCAACAAAAACTTGATGTGTTCTAAATAAAATATTGCAAGTGCATAATTGGTATTTAAAACGTTGCAAGTGTTGATACCATGAGAAATATATATTATTAGAAAATTCTGAAGTAGTTCTTGAAATGTGAAAGAAAAGAAAGAGATTGGTTTGGGTGTGATTGTTGCAAATAAAACGGCTAAAATAAGAAAAGAGAATGAATGAAAAAAATAAATAAATAAATAAAAGAAAATAAGAAAGAGAATAAAACTAAAAAAATAAATAAAAAGATGGAGGAAATCACGTGCATAAACTAGTAATCTAGAATTGAGTCCACTAGTTAATTCCAATTTTGATTTAGATCTACTTTCTTTTAATTCTTATATTACTTAGAATTCGTAAGCATGGATTAACAAGTTATTCAAAACAAGCATAATCGATCAAAAATATATTCAAGCAATATTATCATTCATGAATAGAAATAAACAACTAGAAAGTAATTCTAGAATTGAAAAATTATAAACTATCAAACCATTTAATATAAGTATAGCCTATCAAATTTTTTTACCAATTATTATTCTAGTTGATTATCCAAAGCATGATCATTTAAGCTCAAAAAGAAAGCAATTTAAAAATTAAAATGGAAATTAAATTAGTTTCATCTAATCCTAGAAATCCTAAAGACATTATCTACCCATTCTATAAAAACAAATAAATCTTAAATTACAAAGCACAAAAAAAATCCAACCTACAAAGTAAGAAATTAAATCTAAACTATAAAGAATGGTGAAAAAGAAAGAAAAAGAAAGAAAAAGAAATTTAAACTATAAAGCATGAAATAAAAATAAGAAATAAAATCGTAAACATGAAATTCTAAACAAGAAAATAAAAAATAAAAATAAAAACTTATATTGTAAGAGGTTAGCCCCTTGAGAAGCAAATCTTCATCAACAAAAGGGAAGAAGAAGAAAAATAAAAGTAAAAAAATTATTTATTCCAAACTAAAGTTTACAATTTGGAAAGCCCAAATAAAGGTCATCCTCTCAAAGGAGTTCACAAAATTATTACATCTTCCTCACTTTCACTCTCTATCCATATTTATAGCCTATAACAATTAACATTAGTCCTTAATTAGTCTTGAGCTCCAAGAAATAAAAATCTTCCATTGATGAGTTTCTGTTATAATATAATTGATTAGCTCGTCGATTAGCTAATCGAAATCAATTAGCTAATTGATTAGTTAATTGTAAAACCCTAAAAATTTAAATATTATGTAAAAATAATAATAAATATGTTATATAGTCAAAATATAACATATTTTGATGTTTGAGTATGATAGGAATTGATTTGAGATCAATTCAATGTATATTTATGAATATATGAGTGCAAATGCACAAAACATGCACGAAGAGAAATCTAGAAAAATGACCAGTTAAGAGTTTATATACTTTACACACTGATGAAGCTTGAATCTGGAAAAACTCAAAAGACTAAAGTTATACGTCTCTTCAACAGATTTCTAAAAAATCTTAAATCATCTCATTCCGAGGTCGGATGAGAAAGTTACTGCAAAAATATCGAAGATTATTTTCCTAGTCAGACTAGGTTTCCTCGTTCGCTCTCTCTCTCTCTCTCTCTCTCTCTCTCTCTCTCTCAAACCCTAGCCCTAAAGTTAAGATTTTGGGAGCGTCTTGTGAGGCGAGAAGCGAGGAAAAGGCGAGATCTACGACGTCTGGCGACAAGGAGTCGTTTCACATCAGTTTAAGAGCCTTGCATACGTGATAAGGCAAGATCATCTGCATCCAAACTCATCCCCATAGTGTTTATTGATTATAAAAGTGTTTAATCAATGTATTCATACTTAAGGCTTAACCTAATATGAAAAAGATGAGATTTTTGATGATAAATCTTAACCCAATGCTAGATCATTAGCTTTTCCTAATTATTTATGATAGTAACGTGATCATGATCATTAGGGGTGATTAAATTTTTATTTTTTTAAACTTGGTAATTATGTTTAACTCGTGTGTTAGCCCTAATTTGTTGTCTAATTAAATTATAAAGAGGTTTAGTTTTTGTTTTCATCATAGATTGCAGAAAACGGTTGCACGTGTATAACATTTAATTAGAAATTTGAGATATCATATAAACTCCAAACTAAATAAAACCAGTGTCAAATGAAAGGTATATGAACCTATTTTTCAAAACAGAAAACCATTCTAAGAAAGAGTTTTTATAAAGAAAGATATACTCAATTTACTAATGATATATTCTGTAGAAATTTGTTGCACGTGTATAACTTTTAACTAGAAATTTAAGATATTATATAAACTTCAAACTGAACCAAACTAGTTCTAAATGATAGCTATATGGATCTAGTTTTCAAAACAGAAAACTATTCTTAAAAAGAGTTTGTCTAGAGAAAGATATACTTAATTTACTAGTAACATGTTCTACAGAAAACTACAGATATGCTGATTTGAAATAATTAATATATTACGTGAAGGTTTCTTTGAGTTTCATGTTAATTAATCATGCTTAAACCCTAGGTTTGTGATACCTAAGTAAGATAAATATTTTTAAATAAATTTTACCTCTGTTCATGAGTAGTTTTTATCATGTGTTGATAATCACTTTGTTTACATATGTTCATGAGTAGTTTTTATCATGTGTTGATAATCACTTTGTTTACATATGAGATAATTGAAGAAATTATTTAATTAGGATGTTAAACCCTAATTTGGAAGATATAATAATTTAATTTGATAATTTAGATAATTCTTGTTGCATATGCCAAGTATAAAATCTCGTTTTAACGTCATGATATGTACAATTGACATAAGCAATGTTTGTGCACGAAAGAATGTGTGTCTTGACAGAGTAGTCGACTAGTAAGCTTAGTAGTCGGCTACTCGTACCCAGTTGAGTATAACAGAAACTATGTGTTTGCAGAGTAGTCGACTAATATTCTTAATAGTCGACTACTGATACTGATATATGTTATTACAGAGTCTGGATGGACTCAGTGTAATCGACTACTAAGCCTAGTAGTCAACTACTAAGGCTGTTGCCTGAATTTTTATTTTGTATCTGTTTGAGATATGTTTGCAGGTTTCGAGCCGCACTTCTTTATACGTAAATTCATGAATAGTATAGTAGCACACACATGGGTATGCTGAAAGGAATTGTGATGGGTTTTGACCTGATTACTTTGAGAAAGAGTTTAGTACATATATATTATAAACACACCTTCTGGATATCGTTGATGAGCTCAGTTCCGTACTACGAGGGTAGTGCGTCGATATTCCATTTGTACAAGCTATTGAGTCGAGTTTGGATGCTTTATCTAGCAGTCCGTCCGCATGAGAGTGCGATGAGGATTGTGAGCCGTACTTCTAGGATACCTATATGATAGGCTGTTCCGCACTCATGTTATGCACTGAGATCGTGTTGAGACTAATGAGCTGTGTACACTGATTAGGATACCTACAGGGTAGTCTGTTGCACATGATAATGCTAAGTATCAAAATCTTGCATGGAGTTGCATTGAGATAGTTAAATGATAGCCCGAGTCGTTAGCGGATGTCAGTTATGTTTTTGACTCACTGCTGAAATATATGACCCAGAGTACTTTGCATTTAAAAGTATACGGGATTTGTGCCGTTATTCATTCTATCTTTCCAGTGACAGTGGAAGATATTATGAATAAGATATGTTGATGTCTTTACTTTCTTTTACTGCTTTTCTTTATTTTCTTAGTTGGGATCAATAATTAGCGATTCACAATTTGAGACATATGGTATATACATGAGGGTTTCCTTATTTGGATTATTTCGCTCGACGTACTAGTCTCATGTTGTGGATTTCTAATTGTTAATTTTATTTAGATTGTTTATCTTTAGTTTGGTATTAATGTTTAGATGTTTACAATTCAGGACATATAGTATATACATGAGGGTTTTCTTATTTGGATTATTTCGCTCGACGTACTACGCCTCATATTGTAGGTATCTAAATATTGATTCTATTAGATAAGGGGGAAAATGATCTAGGTAGACTATGCTTAATAGATAGAGCATCCACTCCATCTAGCAGCCCTTCCCCTAGGGACAGATGGATGTGATCTTGCTATAGAGCTTTGACGCTCTTGTTGTTGCTCTTTTTCTTCTAATATCCTTTCAGGTAATTCGGAGTACCGAAGAGTCGCAGGATGACAAATTTCTTACATAGTCGTCGTCACATGAGATTTATTAGAGCCTCCGCCGTAGTTTTATATTTTTGTTCGGACCTTAGAGTTTATTTTATAGTGTAAAGGCAGTGTGCCTTAGTACGATTTTCAGTTGTTTTTTGTCGAGACATATTTATTTATTTTGGATATCAGATGTATTCCAGGTTGTTCATTGAGACATGATTTATTTTGTCGAGACATATTTATTTATTTTGGATATCAGATGTATTCCAGGTTGTTCATTGAGACATGATTTATTTATGAGATACTTCTTTCTAGGATATCAGATGTATTCCAGGTTGTTCATTGAGACATGATTTATTTATGAGATACTTCTTTCTATATCATATCTATTGTAGTTATTTCCTTTTTTTTGCCTGTTTTGTATCTGCACTTTATTTTGATTCTCACTAGAGGATATTGCTGTGATTAGTAAAACTTGTTGTTGCACAGTGTTGGTGCATGGTAGGTTTAACATCTCTGGGTTCATCTTGGACTGCAGCCATGTGTGAAAACCGGGGCGTCACATTTATAATAGAATTTTTTTTCTTGAGTTAACTTATTGATTCGATTCCTCTTGGGCTTTTGGACTTTTTGACTCTCTCTAGGCTCCTTTTAGCTTCAAGTAGAGGTATTTGGGGCATCTTAGAGCTATTATTTGGTAACTTTTTATTTCCAGTAAACTCGTAAAATAAACTATATTAGCAAGTATACTTACTTAATAAAATATATAATGGGGATATAAAAGTGTAATGAAATTTAGTGATTAGAGAAATGGAGAAATTTGAAATTTAAAGAATTTTAAAAGATGACAGTTTTGTGGAAATTAGAAAAAAATGATGGCAGAGTTATTCAGGACATTTTTTCTGGAACTACTAAATGAGAGTTAATTTTGAAAAACTTTTGAATAATTTATATTTTGGGAGAAGGGGAGGAGTTTTGAAATTAGTGAAGTTCGGTTGTAGGGGAGATTTGACAAACCATTGAACTTCTATCTCATATTTCATGTATGCACACATATAGGTGGAGCTTGTACATCATCTTTTATATATCATGAAACTAAGAATATACATAATTCATGTATCTCAAACATCCATCCATGTGATTTCAATTTCCGATTTGTTATTATCAAAAGGGAAGATTGTTAGGACTGTGTCTATGCAATAAACTTAGTTTGGTGAATAACAACACTTTACATTAGTCTAACATATGTTTGAAATATTGTATACACTATACAAGAAGGTAGAATTAAGTTGAAAAGTGAATAGAGCAAGACAATAACTTAATGTCAACTAATATGAAAAAATATAAAGAGAGAAATTCAATTTTGAGCATATAGGAGTGTCCTTATATTTGTTATGAATCCACAAGAATAAACAGAACTCAATTCAGAGATGTATAGCTCGAGATATGAATGTTTTAGTGAGACAACGTCAAAACAATCACTAGTAGGCTAGAAACATACACAGAGGCTGAAACTTTCATGAGCCATAACCTTTGACTCGGTTATCAGAAATATAGCTTTTTTGGAAGCTCTCGACCTGATCTATTGACTATCGATGATTGAAGAGATCATAGATGATGCAAACATCTAAAAAGATTCAAATCATCGACAATGACAACTTAACCATTGATGGTGACAACTTGACCATCGATAGTTAAGTTTGACCGTTGATGGTTCATGGTCACATTCCAGTATTTGGATTTATTTTTAGTTTTAATCTGAGACATTCTTTACAAAGGGTATATAGGCTCTTTCCTCACATTTTTCATAATAAGTTCCTAACCTAATTCAAAGAGAAAAAAGAAAGAGGAAGAGAGAGAGAGAGCTAGGGTTTAAACCTAGGAGAAAGGATCATATTCAGGCTTATTAGAAAGTATACTCATTGTCGTTCATATTCAGGCTTATCAAAAAGTATACTCGACGTCGTTCTTTATCATCTGATCATCAGCCTTCAGAAAGTGTTGCCCTTGGACTTCATCATCATCGTCATTCTTCTCAGAGCTTCACTTCAATCATTAGGAAAATAATTTGCATAATCAAATGGTTGTAAGATCTTTCTATATATTACTTAATTGATATTTAATCGGTATACTCAAGCTAAGGTGAGTTGATCGATGACTTACGGCGTACTTAAATCGGGTTGAATTGAAGAATTGTTCATTAGCTAGGGCTAGGAATATTCATATGTAAAGAGTTAGGTTAGACGATTAGTTTGGAAGAAACTAGGGGTTTCGATCTTGTAAACCTACTGAATCGGGTTTGTGATTCAAGAGAACTTTCTTATAGTGAGGAATCCCCTTTGCAAGAAGGAACGGTGGCTATATAATCATTTATCCAAATCACTATAAAATTCTTGTGTGTTTTAGCTGTGACTTTTTATGTGATTTGCAATGTCTATTGTTTTGATTATTATCTTTTCTATTCCATTGCATATTCTATGATATCTCAAAAAATAGTAGGCAACCCTATTCATTAATTCGATTTTAACTTACAAAGACATGTTAGAATATAAAAATGCAACCATCAACCCTCACTCTAAATTCAAGTTTTAATATGATGGTTGGGAATATTAACAGTTTGGTAATATAGAAATACATTAGATCTTAATTCGAAGGAGCGCACCCATCCTTTTGAGGGAGTGTGAATATCACCTCGTGTTGTCTTTTTTTTTTTTTGTGGTAAAGGGAACCTCCACTTAGTTTCTAATTCAACATTTAAACCACTACGTTCCCCATCAACATCAGCACTCAGAATTAGAAAATAATACGTAAGACGGGTCCTCGTTCTTCCCTCTTTTTCCCCACAAAACTCTAACTTTGAACTCAAATTTTAGGTTTAAAAAATGCTACAGAGGGCAGACTGTAGAATACACAAAGGAAGGAGAATGAGACCAGGGTTAAAACATAAATTTTAAAATTGTATTAATACAGTGTCCTAATTGCCCTCGTAATGAACTCTAATGATACTAACATAAGTCTATACTCTTTTCCTCAAAAATTAATATTGTGTACTGGTTGCATTGATTAAAAATTGATAATAAAACATATGTCACGTTCTTTTTTTTTTTTTGAATATTGTGCTTTATATAAATCTTTTCTCAAAATTTAACGTCACATCACTCCCATAGTAGGCTACCACAAAGAAAAGTTTAGCCCACCAAACAATAATTTGTCAAAAGAAAAATAACTATGAGTAAGATGGAAGCAAAGGCCTCAAGAATATCGAAGAGCATGCCCAAAATCCCACTCATAATAAGTGTTCTTTGGTGGGCTGCCTTTCACTTTGACAATGAGTGGTTAATTTCCGGTATCAGCTTTTTCTTTTTTTTTTTTCTTTTTCGTTTTTTCCCCCCTCTTTACCATTATTTTTGATGAAATAATAGGAAGACCCAATTCTTCTATCATACCATTATTTATCTTTTAATATACGGCTATGATTCACTTTGAGTAGAAAAAAGAATGAAAATCCTAAAGCCCTCTTTAGATAATTGTACATGACGTATGTTTTTGACATAGATATTAAAGTTAATGGTTATACTAATACAGATTTTAAAGTTAACAGTTATATATTAATACTATTTAATTGTGTTGATATTAATTGTTTTGATATTATATATTGATTATTCTGATTTAAAATACCTAGTAGAACAAGTGTCGCCTTCTTCGTTCTTTTATATGATTTTTCGCAATGCGTGTCCTCTATAGGATTTTTTTTTCTTCATTTGATATACATAAATATGATATTAAATGTATTTAGAGTAAATTACAATATTTAAATATTAGTAAATAATTATAATTTACAAAATTATATTTTCAGTATCACAATCGAATTTCAACTTTCTCTAACATCAAAAATATATTAGGCAAGCAGCCTATATAGTAAAGGACTTTATTTTCGTATAAAACAAAGTTTCATTTGACGAGAGCAATTTAATAAACTTTTTTTTTTTTGGATTTCGTCTCTGCTTAAATGAAACACGAGAGAAGCTGAAAGACCCCATTTTTGTTTGTTTTTGTTGACCATACTTCTCTCCATAAATATTTCAGCCTAGAAACTTGGAATTGTCTAATGAATTCCCTTTTTGCCTTTTAATTTTTTTTTTCTTCCAAATCGAATTAATTCCCAATTATTCAGTCCAAATAAGCCACCTCTCTCTCTCTCTCTCTCTCTCTCTCTCGTCGCTCTGTCTAGTTTGAAGGTGATACTTCTGTGAAGGCTTTTTTGCATTGTTAATAAAAATGGGTAATTGCTTGTTAAGAGGGAATCCATCAATTTTCAGAGTATCATCCACTGCTAAATCAGGTATAGTTTCTTAACTTTGCAATATTTGATATATGCAGTTGCTACAAAAAATTGATATATGGATGTTCTGTAAATAACTATGTTCTCCAATTAATTTTGCTTCTTTTACTCATTATGTGATTGTCTGTAAGTTTTAATTCTTTTCTTCCTTTTCTGCTTATTTTTGCGGTTGTTTGATTATTGGTTCCATTGTATGTCTATGGAGTCCTAAACTTTTTTCATATCAAAAAAAAAAAATCATCAACCATCAGTTTTTCTTCAATAATGATCTGGTTTCTTCATAATTTGGAATGACAATAAAAAAAAATCTAATTCTTTTGAACAGAGAATTTCTGTTACACTGACGAACTATAAAAATCATAATAGGAGTGATGAAATTTGGAAGGAAAAAAAGGGTAACTTACAGTAAATCTCAAAAACTTTAAGCATTTTGTAGTAAACCCGAATAGCATTCAAAACCACACTAAACCCCCAATAATTGTTGCAGAAACCCCAATATCTTTTGGCTAAATTACGCTAAACCCCAATATCTTTCAAAATGCTTTTTTATGTTGTTTTTTGGTTCTAACTTACTGGGATTGCCTGCAAAACGCAGAAACTCATTGGAGATTTTCTGCAAAACGCAGAAGTTATTAGGAGTTTGATTTTGAAAGTTATTGGGGGGTTTCCTGCGAAATGCTTAAATTTTTTGCGGGTTTAGTGAAATTACCCTTGATTTAAACCTTACTCAGTTAAACGTAATTAATAATGATAATTTAATTTTTTTTCTGATACCGAAGTCTTCTGTGTTTGAATGGTTGCCTATTGCTACTCATTCTTCAAATTGGATGTCCTTTCTAAAAGAATGTAGAAATGAAGTTTATATCGCTCAAGAAAAATTAAAATTTATACTTTTCCATAGTCATTGGAGCCCTTGTTTAATTAATGAGTAGTATAACATATTGTGGATTTGCTTCTCAGTATTTAATTTTCTGATGATAATGATGTGTTATCTTTTATGATTTTATTTGTGGAGCTCACTAATAAGTTCTTAATCTTTGCCCTGTTTAGTAATAATGATCTTAATTAATCAGAAACAGTCCAAAATGATACAAGTTGTTAGTTTCTTTTAGCATGCAATGAAACTAAAGAATAATCAAAAATTATTTTTGCAGCAAGGTTAATTTATCACACAGTTTGCGCTTAAGGACTCTTTGTTTCTCTTTTTCTTTTAATTAATCTTTTTTACTTTCATTTTTTGCCTAGAATCATCAAAAGCAGAAAGTCCTCCGGTGAAAGAAATAGTGAAAAAAGAAAGCAAATTACCGTCAAGCCCTGAGGAAATCGAAGATTTACGGGGAAATTCAGCTGAAAATCCATTGGTAGCTTTCTCCTTCAATGAAATTAAGGCTATTACAGGGAATTTTAGGCAAGATTATCTTCTGGGAGGAGGGGGATTTGGAAATGTATATAATGGATTTATTACCGAAGGTCTTAGGCAAGGGCTATTATCTCTTCAAGTAGCTGTTAAGGTCCATGACGCTGATAATAGTTTTCAGGGTCATAGAGAATGGCTGGTAATTATCTTTATTTGCTTACTATAAAATTTTAGGGTAAATTTCACAAAACCCCCTGAGCTTTGAAGGTTTTGCATGAAACCTCTTAAACGTTCGAAATTCTCCTAAACACTTCTGAACAATCGGAAAATCTTATAAACGATGCTAATTAATAGAGTAATAAATTTGCATTCTGAATGTTCAGAGGGATTTGGTGAAAAACCCTCCCAAAGTACATGGGGGTTTTATGAAATTTTGATGATTTATTTCCTGAGAGAATTTTGTGCTTTATGTAGGCCGAGGTAATATTTCTTGGGCAACTTTCACATCCAAACTTAGTGAAACTTATCGGGTATTGCTGTGAGGATAAGCACCGAGTTTTGATATATGAGTTCATGGCTCGAGGGAGTGTGGAAGCTAATCTATTTTCAAGTAATTCTCTATGCTTATAATTTTGATATTTCTCTTTTGATTTTTTGTTGGAGAATCTGAAGCCTCCAATCTCTGAACTATAGTCCCTAGCCTTGTTGTGGCATACGCTAAGTAGTTTTTAGAGAGTGCGCCCCCTCAATCTTTCTTAATGTCCACATTTCATGATGTCAGTTACATTTCTTTGCCTTTCATCTTTCAACCTGTGGAGATATGGTTTTCGTTCTCATTATTTTCACTAGTTATCTTGTCAGTTTAAGAATTTAAGGAAAAATTGCGGATCATATGTTCAATTTTCCATTTACAGATATCTTGTGTAAAATCTGTGTGCCCCTTGGAGTTGACATTGGTACATTAAATGGAGGATATATCTTCACATAAACATAATCTATCAGTCAATAGACTAGCTTAATTCAAAACTTTACTGAAGGTCTTCATATATATATGATATCTCAGTATTTAATTGGGAAGTGATGACTTCTTGTGGCAACACGTTCTATCTCCTTGAAATACTTGGAGTGTCCATGAAGTGTCGAAGTGTTTTGACACATAAAAAATTAAAGGCAAAATGTCAAGATAATATAACACTGGATGAAGTGAAAATCAAACAGTCTTGTATAAGTTGGTAGCTCGGAACTGACATCATCTAAAGGTTGCTAGGATCTCTCCATGTGGTATTGACCAAGTATTTTATCTTTATAGATTTTTATACACTGTAAATGTTTGGTATCATTCATATATTAAGAGTTGGTATAAGGTCGTACATGTTTAGAGAATTATCATCTTTATATATGTATATATGTTTTGCTTGATGAGGTATTTTCTTCTAAAGAAGAAAAGGTGGGCATGGGTGAAATAAAATACCTAAGCAAACTAGATGCATCTGTGTTTTTGTTTGACCTTGTATTCATCAGTTAAATCATTGATGAAAACATTTTAAGGAGCAAAATAAGTAAATGATTCAATGAAGAAAATATTTGCAACAATGATATAATTTTGCTGCTTTTCAGGTCCATACACTTCCAACCATCCTTCCATAGAAGCAGCACGTGGAGCAAAAAAATTACAATAAGAATGAGTACAAATAATAACTTAATAACATTACATGCTCCTTTTGTGACGTGATGCTTTATTTCAGCATATTACTCTTGCTTTCTTGGCATCTTGATATTATGTTTCAGAATCATGAATTCTTCGCTGGAAGAATTTTTATTTTATTTTACTAATCTCTATCTAGATTTAGTAAGTATATATATTAATACATATGATACTTTACAACTGTATTAACATTATGTTTACTGGTTATATTTATTATCTATGTAGGAATGTTGCTTCCCCTACCTTGGTCAACCAGAATGAAAATTGCTCTTGGTGCAGCGAAAGGCCTTGCATTTCTCCATGATGCTAAGAAACCAGTCATATATCGTGACTTCAAGACATCAAATATTTTACTAGACCAGGTTAGTCTGCTGAAGCTTCAAATATTGTTTGATGACCACTATGTATGCTGTTGCAACTTATCAAATTCGGCTGATAATAAAAATCTAATTTTTTCTGAAAATCTTATCTTTGTAAATAATGTGTATGGCTTGTATTTTATTTGAGATATTTATTTTAAGTTTGCCCCTAGCAGACGGCTAATTGTTAAAGGAAAAAAGAGAACTGAGAAGATTATGCACAATAGATCTAAATTATCCTAAAGTTGGTGTCCGGTGATATATAAATCTTATATTATTAACAATTCGTGCATTTTTCTCATTTTATACTCTCGAAATATAATATTTTCTTTATCTGTATTTCTAGACATCATTGATTTTGGATGCATGCACCATTGTGGCGTTATGCTTATTTGAGCATGGGCTTTATTGGTTGCATATTGACTATAAACTGAAATATGATATACATATGGACAGCGTTTATGTTTTGCCCTTAAACCATACATAAAGAAATTAACCTTTCTCATTATGCAATATCTTATAAGAATAAATATATATGGCCCTGCTCACGGAAACTCTAGTGCCTGTATATTCAATTAAGATTTTATAATGCCGAATACTGAATGTTAGTGTTTATAATACCTCACAATTAGGATTATAATGCAAAACTCTCGGACTTCGGACTAGCAAAAGATGGACCCGTTGGCGACAAGTCTCACGTCTCAACACGGGTCATGGGAACCTACGGCTATGCAGCTCCAGAGTACATAATGACAGGTAAATTTTGCCAGAGACTAGACATTATTCTACTATCTCCTTTAAATTTTATTACTATAACAACTATTAACAGAAAAAAATACTATAAAGGGCCCTCGGGGAAGGCACGACATGTATCCTAACACACATTTTAAAGTTTGTGATCAATTGATATTTAATTGTTTGCAGTGATATATACTAATTGCACTAATTTCAAATTGGTAATACATGATGTATCGTGTTTTAAAATTGGTAATACATCATCTATCGTGTTTTGGTTAACTTAACCGAGGAGATGACTCATAATAGAATGGAGAGGGAAAAAAATAGGATTCATGTAGCTGACCCCAAACATTTGGGATAAAGGCTTTGTTGTTGTTATTGTTTACCATGTATCGTGTTCTCTCTTCCTGTATGAGAGGCCCATGAATGGAGATGGACTAAGCTCTTTATTTAAAACCAAATTGACTCAAAGTGCTATTCTATTTAATCATGGGTCCATATATATATATAGGAGAACTTATGTCAACTTAAGTGAACGTCCACTTAAGTTGACATAAGTTTCTCTCTCTCTCTCTCTCTCTCTCTCTCTCTCTATATATTTGCACTTACAAACCCTGTAATTTCATTATTGCAGATATACCAACCCCAACCCCCCCCGGCAGCCCACCTATTCCTCTTTTGTCGTTTGACTCTTTTATCCTTAGTGAAAATTTGGCAGATATTCACCCTGCATGAATTAGTGACTCTAACCGAGGGTCAAACAGTCAAAAAATTTAATCCAGGGGGTCTAATGAAACTACAGGAGCAATAAGTTCAAAACAGAGGTACTACAGGGGGTTTATGTGCAATTAATCCTATATTTAACCATATATCTATCTAATTGTTTTGTTCCCAGTATAGAATTATATCTTATCTCAAGCTTTTTGCTATAACAAACCCACACTTGAACAGAATGGATGCGAGACCCTCTTAGCATAAACTCTGTAGGAATTTTTTTTTCCTTATCTAACATTAATAAATTCCTTTTTGTTTCTACAGGCCACCTCACTTCAATGAGCGATGTTTACAGCTTTGGTGTTGTCCTCCTCGAACTCTTAACAGGTCGGAGATCTTTAGACAAGTCTCGACCAGTCCGAGAGCAAACACTTACAGATTGGGCACTCCCTCTTCTTACCCACAAGAAGAAATTATTGAAAATTGTGGATCCGAGACTCAATGGAGAATATCCAGGGAGATCAGTTCATAAAGCAGCCATGCTGGCTTACCACTGCCTTAGTAGGAATCCAAAGGCTAGGCCACTGATGAGGGACATTGTGGACTCTTTGGAGCCATTGCAAGAGCCTGATGAATTTGGGAGCAACGGGGGTATTTGGGTTGCTGATGAGGACTCTTTGCATTGAGAGATGTACTAAAAGGTTTTGTATTTAAAGTTAGAATTCAGTTGTGTCAGAATCTTTATAGGAAAATCTTAAGTTTTGTCTTGATCACTTGGTGGCTAATTCACGTATATAATGCTTTAGATAGAAGTTTGTCATATGACTGCATGACAAATTAGGTTTTTTTTTTAATATTGTCATAACCTTCATAATACTGGAGTAGAAAAAGTGTGATCTCTGCCAACAGCATTACATAATCCCCAAGCCTCTTATATTGCATGGATCCGAAATCTGTTCTACATTTCATATACCATTAATATTATTGTAAGATCCCTGGAAGTATCTCTTATTACTAGATTTCAGTAAAAAAAATCAAGATAGCCTGCATGATTCTTTTTAAGAAGAGAGAAGAATACAAATTTTATCAGAACGCTCCGCATTAGAGCAGTATGTTTTAAGTTGTTGACATATTAGAAATATGTAGGGGGTTATGTGTAAGGTTGTGTTTGTAGGGGCCTATATAAGCCCAAGAGATTTCAGCAATAAAGTATTAGGGTTTTCAATTCTTTATGGTATCAAAGCTAAAACCCTAGCCGCCACCTTCCTCATAACCCTAACCCTAGCTGCCGCCCTAGCATCGTGACTCACAACCACCCCAACCCAAGCTGTTGCCACCTGACACCCCGCGCGCGCCGCGCTCCGCTGCTGCTGCCCGCGCGCGTTGTTTGTCGCGCCGCTGCACCCGCCTAAGCGTTGAGCTCTCGCTCGCAATGCTCCACAAGGTGACGGTGCCGATGATGTGTAGCGTGATAGATTCCCTCGACATATCAGTCATAGAACTGATGAGAGGATGTGTAGCTTGTTAGATTCCCTCGATATTTTTTAGTCCTAGAACTGATGAGAGGAAGAGTGTATATCTCACGGTGTTGAGATATATCACTTTCGATTCTTTTTTCCTTTGAGAAACGATAATTTAGTTGAGATCTTACTCTTGTTGTGTAGCAGAAGTGCTGCCGAAATTTTCACTGCGCACAACAAGGGTTCAAGAGAAGGAGAACTGGTAGTTGATCTAGATCGATGGAGGAGATCATCAAGAAGTTGAACCCCGCGGAGGTATCAACTTTAATGCAGTTGATGAAGTTGTAGGCTGGTGAGAGCGCAACAAGGCCACCGATGAAGTTGGAACTTCCACCCATCGATCTAAAGCTTGATGGACCGGATACTTACCTGGGCTGGTCACGACGGGTGAAATACACCCTTGCAGGGAGGAACCTGGAGGGGTACTTGACAGGAGAGAAGACAGAGTCGGCTGAGGGCTCGGTGGGAAGAGATGAGTGGAAGTCCACTCATATGTTGGTGTACATCTGGCTCCTTAACTCATTGGTCTAGTCGATCGCCGCCACAGTGGATGGCATTGAGAAGGTGAAGGATGTCTAGGAGAAGTTGAGGAGGACCTATTATGGGGTGGGGAATAACCTGAGGGTGTTCCAAATCAAAGGAGAGATCGACGCCACAGTCCAAGGAGAGAGGACTGTACAGGAGTATGCCACAGAGCTGGAGTGCATGTGGCTAGATTATGATCACTTCTCACCTCGGATGAGCTGCAAGGACCTGGATTGTAAGGAGCGAGAGGCCTTTCTACATGAGAGGACTATGGTGTTTCTCAAGGGGCTGGCATCAGAGTTTGTTCAGAGGATTGTATTGCTGCTAGCTCAGCCGAAGATTCCCACACTTGAGGAGTCAGTCTCGGCAATGATTCAGGAGGAGACTCGCATTAGGCTGTAGGCGGGGACAGGTGGACTTCCTGTGGTGAAGTCAGCACTGGAGGCCTCTAACAATAGTAGATCCAAGGGGGAGACTCGGTAGTGCTACAACTATGGTAAAGTGGGTCATCTAAGGCATGCTTGCACCAAACCACCCAAGGAAGGAGATTCGGGTGGACGTGGATAGTTCAGAGGTCATGGTCGTGGCCTTGGGGGTCGACGAGGTGGAAGAGGTGCAGGTAACTGGGCGAATCTGATGGTAGCAGAGGGAGAAGAAGTAGCTGAGGTGGTCTTTACTGAGGAGGCTCATGCGCTCCTGGAGATACTGAGGAGAAAGCAGAAAGTAGCAGGAGATGGAGACATGAGGAGTGGGACTAAGGAGGCATCCACTTCGTTCTTCGCCAGAGACAACACTGCTACTTATGCTCATCCGACCAAGTGTACTGTACATGCTCTTGCTTCTATGTCTCCTGATAGATCATCAGAATAGTCGACTCCTGTGCGTCTCGACATGTGACAGGTAATGCTAGTGAGTTCTCATCATATACTCATCTAGCATCGGCTGATAGTATCTAAATAGCTGATGATATATTTCAGCCAGTGATTGGTAAGGGTACAGTCAATTGTACAGGTTCTATAACTTTGTCCAATGTTTTGCATGCTCCTTCCTTTCCAGTCAATCTTTTATCCATTAGTTCTATCATACTCTAACTAAAATGCATTGTTTCTTTTGACATTTCCAAGGTGATCTTCCAGGAGAAGGGGACAGGACGAAGACTTGGGAATGGCACATGGAGTAGTAGATTGTGGTACCTGATCGTGAAGGGTTGGACTCGGTATTGGTGTCAATGGTAGAGAGAGCATGAGTAAGATCTGAGATGAGTACTGAGAGTGTGTTGATGCTTCATCACCAGCGCTTGGGACACTCATCCTTTAGTGTTTTAAGTAGGTTATATCCATCTTTATTTGAGAAAGCAAATAAACAGAAACTTGTGTGCGATGTATGTTGTAGGCGTCCAAAAATGCCTATAAGCTCCCGTATACGGCTCGAGACGAAGAGGAGGCGATAAACGTCAGCATTCAAAAAGAGAAGATTCACCAAGTGGCCCGATCAATGTCAAACCACCAAATGGTGGCTCGGCCAATGTCAAACCACCATTTGGTGGCTCGGCCAATGTCAAACCACCAAATGGTGGCTCGGCTAATGTCAAACCACCAAATGGTGGCTCGGCCAAGTTCAAACCACCATTTGGTGGCTCGGCCAAGGCCGAGCCACTTCGGTGAATCGGCCAGAATTAGTTTTTTTGGTTCTTTTATGGATTCTTTCGGGATTTGAGGTTCCAACTGCTCTGATATTGTTGTTAGATAGTTGCTAACTGAAGATAGAGGGAAGCCCTCATTTTGATCCAAGAAAACCACCAACCAAGCCTATAAATAAGAGCCCTAGGGTTCATTTTTGAAGGATCTGGAAATCAAGAGGACGAAGTGCTGTCAAATTGGAGATTGGAGCAAGAATTTCAGAGAGTTAGCAGATCTTGGCGGAGTTCTTCAACAAAGCAAGAGTTCGAGAGATCTGAGACTTATTCCACCCTCCTCCGGATTTAAGCTTAGTCTTAAATCCCGAGAAGAGCCGTGATTTTGCTTAGTCAAAATCGTCGCTACTGCAATCACTTCCTTCGTGAAGCGAAAGCATTAATTATCCAAACTTCTGCTCACCGGATCTGATCCGTAGGCGGTCCACGGATAAACCCCGGCACCGGCAACGATCCCGCACAAGCAATAGGCGATAAACTTCTATTGTGTGTAGTTTGAGAGAAAATTGTAACTTTTGATTTAAAGTCTTATAAAAAGGCTATATTTTGTTGTTTGAGTTTATTGTAAGTGTTTGAAGCTGCAATGGACTCATCAATGAAATCAGTTTTCCACCCAAACATATGTGAGTTTGGAAAGCTTAATAGAAGCTCTTATGTTAGTTCTGGTCATAGGAGTTCTCATGCATTTGACCTGATACATTCAGATGTTTGGGGGCCTTGTTCCACAAATTCTATGAATGGATACAAGTATTTTGTTACCTTCATTGATTACTTCTCTCGTGTTACTTGGTTATACTTGATGAAAAATAAAAGTGAAGTGTTTGGTTGCTTCCAAAACTTTCATAGGTATGTTCAGACTCAATACGAAGCAGTGGTGAAGGTATTGAGGTCTGATAATGGGACAGAGTATACCAACAGGAATACTTATCAGATCAGGAAATACAGCACCAGACTACATGTCCATACACGCTAGCTCAGAATGGGGTAGCGGAAAGGAAGAACATACATCTTTTATAGGTTGTTAGAAGCATGATGATCTTCATGAATGTCCCAGATACATTATGGGGGCAAGCAGTGTTGACCGCAGCTCAGCTGATCAACAGAATGCCCTCGAGAGTGTTGGATTGGAAGTCTCCGTGTGAGACGTTGAAGGGAGATAACAGTGGGATTCTTCCATTGAAGGTGTTTGGCTGGGTGTGCTTTGTGAAGGACAACAGGCCATCCGTCGAGAAGCTTGCCCCTAGAGCGGTAAAGTACATCTTTGTAGGATATTCTGCTACTCAGAAGGGATATGTTTGCTGGAGCCCTGTGGAGAAGAGACTGTTTGTGAGTATGGATGTACACTTTCGAGAACTCGAGCCATATTATACCCGGGAGGTAACTTCATCCGTTGGTGACTCGCCCGATATTGAGAGTATGAGGAGAAATGGGGAGAATGGTGAGAGGCATGTGAACAATGTGGAGAATAATGTGGAGAAATCGATTTCTCTATCGATTCCTTGGGAGGAAGAATTGGTTGAGGAGGAGCAGGAGAATGAAGAAGACGAGGAGAAGGAGACAAGAGGTGTTAGGCCCACGGTTCAAGAGAAGCTACTTACCTATAGTAGGAAGGGAAGCAAATTGTAGGAACAGTACCTACAGTGTCACTGGTGCCAAGTCCCTTGCCAACGCCTGCCCCAACTCCTGAGACACCTACACCACTACCAGATTTCTCTCAATGTGATATCATTCCTCTACTTACTCCTCCCACACCAATGTTAGTACGGAGGACTACTCACAGCAATGCGGGAAATCCTCCCGATAGATATGGTTGGGATCTTGCCCAGTTTGTATCATATTCTAAAATCTCTACTACACATGGAGCATTCATTGCATCAATTGACTCTGTTACTGTACCTAATAATTGGCAGGTTGCTAAGAAGGACCGAAAGTGGAAAACGGCTATGCACGAGGAGCTAGAGGCTCTTGAGAAAAACCGCACTTGGGAGTTAGTAAAACTACCATAAGGGAAGAGAGCAGTTGGATGCAAGTGGGTCTTCACTGTGAATCAGAATT